GCCTGAGCAGCCATTAAAATAGAGTGGAGCGTTGTTAGTGCAGAGTAATGATTTCCACATAGCTGACTTTAATCCCCTACAACACATCTGAAAACGCTTTTCCCATCCTTGAGCTGTAAATTAAACGACTCGGAACATTTGAGTGCAATGTCTGATCTCTCACCCATTACGTTACAAAAGTGTGATTAGTTGTTTTGCTGTTGCCTAAACACAAAGCTCTGACTGTTGGTAGTGTGAACTTGCTGCCAGGGCAGCTTGGGGTGGCCGTGCTGACGGCGGGGTCCCCGCTGCTCCAGGGCTTGCTCAGCTCCCCGGTCCTGGGGGGCTGCCAGGGACGTGGGCACGGGGCGTTCCTGCGGCTGGGACTGGGCTGCGAGCTCGGAGCATCAGCCCCTCCTGCAGTACCTGCCCGTGGCATCGTGCTCTTAGACAGAGCCATCTCTGAATTAATTTGGATTCCCTCGTATTCCGCTGTTCTCGGAGAAAAGAGGGGGTCTCCTTGCGTAAGCATAAATGCTTATCGGACTTACGACTTGTGTTTCTATTTGGTGAGGCTGATGTTTCTCCCAGTCCCCTTTGCTTTGCCTTTAAAAGTGCCAAACAGAACCTAAATTGTGCTGTATCAGCTAAATTTCAGAGTGATTGAAGGGGAACCTGTGGCCGAGGTGAGCCTGGCGCTGTTCGGGCCATCGCCGGAGGCTGTACGGGGCTGGCTGCCGTATACCACCAGCGCTTGGGCGCTCTGAAGAGCTGACGGTGAAGCCTTGAGTTTAATCATTAGAAGGACTAACGACGAACGGGCTTCTACAGGCAAACCAAAGCCTGGCCCTGTCTTTCATTAAGTGTAAAGATACCTAGAATGACTTTTGGAAAACACAAGTTTAGCTGCTTTCTGGTACGGTCAGTGTGATCTTTGTTTGTCAGGGGTATGAGGAACTGGGAAACTCCAACTGGAAAGTGCTGGCGGTACCAGTGACCGAATGCTGTAGCTTCATGCAGAGCAGATTTACTGCTATTGCTGTTATCTTCTGCGATCAGAATCGCTTTCTGAGTCTTGGTTCTTATTTTCTGGCAAACTGAAGCCTTCGGGGATCCTTTAAGCTGTGTTTGGCGCGTGGGCTCCCGAGCTGAGCGAAGGGGAATGCCGTAACTGCCCCTTCTCTGCGGCAGCGTGAGCACACGTCGGGCTGATTCAGTGCAGGGGAAAAAGCACAGAAATAAGAATGATGATCTCTGCCAATGTCATTAGGCTTTTTCATTGTTCTGGGCCTCAGATGAAATTCTCAATGTGGAAGCAATATACACAGCACTGGATCGTGGCAAACAGTGAGATGGGATTGCTAGGAATGCTGCCGTTCCTGAGAAGGATGGTTTCCTTTGTCCCACCAAAAACAGTTGGAAAGACCAACTTAAAGTGAATTGTCCTGGCCTAAAATCAAATAATTACAGTAAAGATAACTTATTGGAACAAGACACCTAGCTATGACAAAGAGTACGTTATTCCCTGTTGAAAAAGCTGTGATGGTGGTACTGAGTAGTGGTTTGGAACAAAACAAGCTTAAATCCTCGGGGGACGGATCCAAAGTGCGTTAAAGCCAGTGGGAGGCTTTGTGTTTGATGGGGTTTGGATCAGATGCTGAATTTGGAGAGGTAGGTTTGTATCCTGGCTGGTTTAGACGCAAAATACCAAAGGTTAAAAAAAAAAAAAAATCACCTCAAGAACTCATGGGTTAAAACATTGCTCCTTATTTTTCAAACTTGGACTCTGCAGATAATTAAACCACAGCTGAATGTGGTATGTGGCAGCGGCCAGAGTCCGGCGGAGGATGCTTGGCCGCAGGGGGTGATCTCTGCCTATCCGAACAAGACCTGTTTTCATTAAGCGGTGCATACGCGGGTTGTGATGATAAACAGAATAGGTTGCATTTGAAAACATTATCTTGTACTTCATGCAGTTTCCATCTCCCATCTCAACCTCTTAGCATCCAGAAAAGCCTGTGTAGGTGCCTGCCGGACCTTGCCGGGGCCCCTGCAGCTCCCTCATGCCCTGGGTGCTGGAGAAGACAACCACGCTGGAGATCGCATCCCAGCCGTGTCCCCAGATGCCTCTGTGGGGAAAAAATGATCTGGCACATGGAAAATCCTTGGACAGTGGCAGCGTCCTGCTCTGGCTTGGCAGAGCTGAAGATGCATTTGCAAATGGAAACTGTATTTTTAGGGCTTTTTCTATCCAGCACCTGGGTTGAAAGGGTCAAGATGATTCATACAGGGTCACATAAGCCTTCTCCCTGAAAGGCGTTTATATAGCTCCTGCTGTGGTCTAGTATATAGGCCTGCCAGGGAACACATATATACGTATATGTATGTGACTAATACACCATCAGAATACGTTTCAGGATTCAGGACCAGAATAAAGGGACTAAGCCAGGAGTATGCAGAGCAAGAACGACGGCAAGCTTGTCTACTCATTTCTTGAGCTGAAATAAGTCTGTGTCTTAAACTCCACGCTAAGTTGGAGCCTGTAGTTCAAGAATGGTTTTAAGCTTTGTGGTTTTAACAGCATGGAACTGGCATCTTCTCTATTTACCACTGTACTGTTTCTGAGGATAATTTTAGACAAATGCATATATATATATGTTTCATTCCCTGGCAGGCCTATATGCTATATACATGTTTGTGTCTTGTTGGGGTCTGGGGTTTTTTTTAAGTCTGGTTTTGGGGGATTTATTTTTTCTAGTTTTTGGTGGGTTTTGGGTTTTTTAAAAGCAATTTAAGTTGAGTTTACTTAATTTTCCCATTGCAGAGCCGAAGGGAAGACCTGGTCACCCCCTGTTCTGGAAGATGGCAAGGCTCAAGCGTACCGGATCAACGTCGAGCCGGAACCGCAGGTACGGCAGCAGCAGCCCCGCACCCACGCTGCTCTTCCAGCTTGCTTTTCTGGGGAGAGGAGATCCCAGTCTGGAAAGCCCTCTGCTCTGCCTGCAGTCCTTCCAGAGGTTAAGGAGTTTCTATGTGTGGTTTTAAAACATCCCGTTTGTTCAACTTCTCCGTGCAGATCTTGCTGTGCTTTCCTTGGGCTGGTAAAGCCCAGGCTCCTGTGGTGAACCAGATCCTTGAACTGATCTGGCTTAAACCCAGGTCCGTAATTGCCCTCCGCCCAAGTTAGGCTTTGTTGAGTCAGCTTGCCAGCGGCACGAGGAGGCTGGGCAGTGCCGCCGGGGGAGCAGCCCCCAGCATTAGACCCCCCTCAAGGCCCCTGACCAAGCTCGGGGTCAGCATTATTTTTGATGGAGCTGCTGGGAGCCTTCCCAAGGGCGCTGCCCGACGCCTGCCCTTCCCGGAGCCCAGCAGGCCCGGGGTCTGTTTGCACCTGCCTTGGCCACCATGCCTCCGTCTCGGCTGCTTCCAAAATCCACCGCACCCTCCTAATCCCGTGGCAGTGATTCACTTCGTGTGGCGGGGGATGATTTTTTTTTATTTTTTTTTTTGGTAATGGTCTCTTCTCTCTTTTTCTGTCTCACTCCTTTCTCTCCCTTCTCTCTGTTTTGCAGCTTGTCTCTTCCCTCTGTTTTCAGCTCTTTTCCCTAGACCCTCCTGCCAGCACTGCCTGCAGCCTCCCCTGCCTTCCCACCCCGTGGCCCCCAAGAGCTGGGGCGAGGGCAGGGCCGTCCCCAGCAGCAGCAGCCTGCTACGGGAGGTGGATGGAGCTGAACAGGTCTCCATCCATCGTACCCATCTCTTGACTAATAGCTTGCCAGCGAGGTCAAAGATGACTCTCGTGTCCCTTGGGCTCCTCAAAGGGAAGAGGAATGGTGTCTGTCTCTCCTCCCTTTCTGCCTCCGAGTTACCTGACCGTTGGGGTTTCGGATGTGCTGGCCCCTGGTGCATGCTGTGGAGGTATCTGGGGAATGAGGAGGGGACGAGGCAGAGGGGAGCTCCTGCTGTCTTGCTCCCCCTCAGATGGGCACTGAGCTATTATGTGTGCTGACAGAAAAATCCTGCGATTGCCACAGCACCGCGGGAGCACTCTTGCGCTGATGCCGAGTGTTCAAATATTGCTGATACGGTTTCCTTCTCCACAAAGGTGGTTTGCGTTACGGGCTGTTCCCCGAGAGCTTGTTCTGCAGCGCTCGCGAAGTGCCGGCACGCGGGTGCTGCTGGCTTAGGGCTCGGCTCCGCTGCTCGTCCCTGGAGGTGGCTCTTTGCGTGTCCTGACAAGGGTCTCGAGGTCCCCTCGGCTCAGTCCAGAAGGAATACAAGTCCTGCGAGGGTGGAGCGGGCGAGGTGATGCTACGAGGAGCAGTGTTGGCCTCGTTTGCCTTCAGCCAGGAGTGGGGAGAGAGCTCTGGCAGCAGAGACTCCACCGAATGATGAGGACGGGGGTCAGATTCTCCAAACCCTATGAAGAGCGGACCTGTATAGTCTACGCCTGTGAATCTGTTGGCCTCTGCAGCCGTGTGGAATTTGCAAATATTTTGTATTCCTGCCTGGGTACAGCGGGCAGAGGGGCTTGCAGGTGCCAGCACCGCAGAAGTGCGGCACCGGCAAACCCACCGCGACATCACCCACGAGCGACTCGTGGGTCTCCTCATCTTTCCTGCGCCGACTGATGGAGCAGGGCGGTCTGTGTGCTTGGGCTTTTGAGTTCTGGCCATGTTTGCTTCATTAATCAATTAAGGCAATCTTTTTTGACAGGTATTTTTTCTTAATAGACTTTGATGTGCCCAAAACCCTATGAATAATATTAAATGAGGAACAAATGTGCAGCAGTCCCACTGCCAGATACAACATTTCTGAGGTTTAATGCAGATTGGATTTGAATCTGGCTATTAATATATGTTACATATGGATCTTTTTAAAAATTAGACAGTTACATAGAATAAAATGAGGGAGTAGAGATGGATTTTCCTGAATCCAGACCTACACTGAAAATGTGTAAATCTGGGAAGTACTCAGTGGGTAAAGCAGATGCGTTTGCAGGAAGGCACCGAGAGGTGTACGAACAAGAATACTCAGGGATGGACAGCAGGTTCCTGCTCTTGCTCTCCTTTTCAAAGGCTGTAGCCCCACATCGTCTTGCTTAACAGCTTTTTGGGCTTCCCAGAGAGAAGGTGAAGGAGGTCCTACACAGACATCAGAGCACTCGTGCTGTGGTTGCACCCGAGATGCGCTGGTTGAGCCTTCTCCCTCCCCAAACCGCCTGTGCCTCGAGCGTGGTTCACGCTGCCGGCTGGGGACACGTGCCAGTAGCTGTCCTAACCCCTCTGTTATTGCAGGTGTCCTCTGACTCGTGTGATGCTGAGGGCGATCATCAGCACCCCAGAGTGCAGACCCTTGCAGCAGGCATCCCGTCCCCCGGGAGCGGAGATCCTGGTCGTGGCTGGAGGCCCCTCTGGAGCGATGCCGTATGACCCAGGGCTGTCCGATGTCGTATTCATTCCACCCCTGTAGCAAAGGCACGTATTAGATTGTGAGAAAGAAAAGACTTATTGTAAATTAATAGCTTGGCTCAGCATGTGCAACCTTTAGGTGCACTTCCTCACATCTGGAAAAAAGCAATCCTCTTTGAAACACAGGGGAAAAAAATTCTACTGGAATTCTGCCCTCAAATCACAAAAATAGGTTTGGGGTTGTCCTTGTGAAGGGTTTTGAGAGTTTTACCCCAAGTGGCCTTTTCAGTAATACGGAGCACATGTCTTACCTTCCTCCAAGTTTTACTTGATTAACTTTTCCATCGTACTGGGTAAAGATGTCTTGAAAGTCTTTTGACTTGTGGCTACAGTAATTCTTGCTAGGGGCCCTGAAACATGTGAGCGTAAGCAGAATGCCTAAATCTGTGCCATTTCTAGGGAAGCATGTACCCTATAACTACATTTGGAGTTGTTTGGGTGCAACCTTTGTCTTGAAGGCAGTGAGATTTGCAGATATCTTTTGTGCAAGAGAACATGGAAGGTATGGGCCAGCTGATGAGTTCTCCTCGATTTCTAAATCTGTTGTGGTTTGTCAGTTGAGCTTTGTGGAAAACCCCTACTCAGAGACCAAGAGTGTAATCAATCCTCCTCATTAAAACTTTGATTAATGCCATGACTGCAGGGAATAACTGCCCTTACAGCGGAAGAAGCTGGAAGTGGAGAGAGCTGCTTGTTTGCAATTAGCAGAACTGACACTGAAGAGGATGCTAGGCAGTCACCTTCATGAAATAATGTTATTTTTAAAAAGCAGACTTTGGTTCTCAGTTGGTTACACTACACAGGTCTGTCCTTGACAGCAAGGGTCTGTAGAGGAGGGCACAAATTCAGCAACGCTCAGACCCTTACCCTACGTAACGAAGGGCTGTGTGTCTGGCAGACCCGGTGGTGGGTGCCGGTGGGACCCATGGGGATGCTGCGGAGCGGCTCGGTGCCCTCCAGCCAGCAGTGCTGTCATCTGAAGTCAGGATTCCCGTCATGCAGACGTGACATCGCTGCCCATGTGTTGGGATCTCCAGGCTCACTTTGCCGCCGGCCCTTCGCCCGGTATCGGTGTTGCTGCAGGCACTGGCCCTGGCCATCCCTCCCCGGCAGATAGTGAGCGGGAGCACCCATCCATCAGTTTCTGGCAATCCCACTGGTTTTGGCTTCTTCTAGTGTGAGCTTGCTAGTCAAAATATCACCATGTGGTGCTAATAAAAGGAGAGGATGTTTGTTTTCTTGACTATTCCCATACTGTCAGAATTGGCAGCTTTCTGGCCCAGAGCGGCTGGAAAAGTGGGCTTTGGGCTGTGGGGCAGAGCCCTGTCAGCGCTAATTGACAGTAGATCATGGGTCTGGGTGGGGGAATAATTGCAGCAGAAATTAAATTGGCAGCACGTAGCTGGAGCTGGAATAGGATGCGAGTCCTCCCAAACCTGGACACTCGGCTAAAGTAAGCTCTAGGGGGTGAAAGGCTGGGTTTCCTCCAGCTGCCCGGAGAGGGAGAGGCACTTCCCGCAGGCGGTCAGTCAGCCCCGTGCCCCCGGGAAGGGCATCCCAGTGCCACCCGGCCGGCGGAGCGGCACCCGTGTCATTCTCGGGGGGGAAGGATGGGGATGGTGGGTCGGTGCTCCCGCTCCCCTTCCCTTGGTCCTCTCTCCCG